TTGGAATCCAGTGCTGATCTCAAATTCTGATATTCCTACCATTGCTAAGCTACACCACAACCAAGAATCGTTCTGCTTTCTCCGAGCTTCAAACAATGATGAGTTAGGAAAATATTTTGATTTAAGAACTCTGCTAACCAACCTGTCCGGTTCTGTGACCACCTTCCATAACTGTTTGCTATAAGAGCAGTGTTGAACAATTGGATATCCTGGCAACCCGGTCCCCCATGTTTCTTAGCCATTGTCAACTTGTTTTAATCCACCCAGTGCACTCCTTTCTGACAGTCTGAACCTTTTCTCCACCAAAATTGCCCACAGACTTGAGAGATTTCTTTGCACAATCCTGCATGAAGCATAAAACAGGACATAACAAAGACTGGTAATGCATTAAGAACAGCTCTAATCAATACCTCCTTACCAGCAGCAGACAACCATTTATTTTTCCAACTCAATATCATGTTTCTCACAACATTCAGAATATAATCAAAAGCTTATCTCTATGATTTCCCTATCCCAAAAGGAAGCCCTAAGTACCTGGTTGAAGAGTGTTTCTGAATTCCTGGAAATAAAAAGCAAATTCTATAATGAACCTCCTCAGATGTGTTTTTACTAAAGAAGATGGTAGACTTTCTAATGCTCACTTGCTGCCCAGTAAAATCTTTGAAATATTGTAAGACACCCAACAACTTTCTAGTTTGACCTTTATCTGCCTTACAAAATACAAGGGTGTCATCTGCAAACATCAAATGGGTAAGCATAGGCCCATCTCTTGATATCTTTATATCTGCAAAGCTGCCTTTCTCCACTTCCCTATTGATCCGTGCAGAAAGCAATTCAGAAATGATGATGAATAAGTAAGAGAATAATGGATCCAATTGTTTTATGCCCCTGGAAGCAGACACAAAGCCATTGCATTTGCTACTGATATTAAAAGAAAATGTAGGAAACTGAATACATGCCATGACCCACTTAACAAACTTCATGTGAAAACCCATTCTAACCATAGTCAATTGGATGGCTTTCCATTCTACACAATCATAAGCTTTTACAATGTCCAACTTCAATGCCATAAAACAATTCTCCCACTTCTATGCCTACTCAAAAAGTGAAAAACTTCATGCCTAATGACTACATTATCCAATAATTTCCTACCCGGCAAAAAAGCATTTTGATTTGCAGAAATGCATACATGAAGGCACTGCCTCAACCTTGCTGTTGGGTTTTATGAGGAACGTCAATGACATGCACAGTATTGAACTTATCAAAATAAATCCTAACGCAGTGGAATCTATAGTTAGGATTATGACATTAACTTTTAAAATTTTTGTTGACTCAGAGACGTTTCTGATTTCCTTTGATGGAGATCGTCTGATTACCACAACTCAATCGGTTGAAGAGTTTGGCCTTTGTCGACTCTAGTCGAGTGTTGAATCACGAACGGATCATCAGAACGAACTTCTTAGGCTCTAGCCGGTTGGGCAGGTTCGGTTCAGTCTTGGGTCGGGCTGGGTCGCGGATAGGTGCGAGTCACGGGCAGGTGCGTGCCGCTGGCAGGTCGCGTTGGGTCGTGACGTGCGGGGCAGCAGATCGCATGGTGCACACGCGTGCTGGACTGGAGTCCTAGGATGACGCGGACATGGCATGTGGACAGAGGCGGCTGGCGCGTGCGGGTTGTGTTACCTGGGCGCACGAGGAATCCTGGGGGAACAGGGACAACGTGCGCGTGTCGTGCGGTCGCGGGACATGCTGGGCGCTATNCGGCGGTGGTCGACGGCAGCTGGTGGCGGCGGTCGGCTGGGGAAGATGACCGGAAAATATGGAGCTTTGAGGTTTAAAGAAAAGCAACTTAAAGCCTTCTAATAAATTACCTAAACACCTACTTCAATTAATCTTGGTGGTGCGATTAATTGAATCTCCCTATCTCTCGATCAAGACAATTTTTCCCTCTCTTGAAGATGAAAAATCGGCCCTCAATCATGTGTCTCAAGAGGTTGGGACATTGTGTATTTATAGGCTCCATTAGGGACCTTAAGGAGGTGCCAAATATGGGTTTATCCCATTAGGCCAAGGAATCCTAATTCCATTCCATAAACTAATCCATATTAGGTCATGATTCATTTCTCCTAACATCACCTTCTAAAAGACTCTCTAGTCTCCTAGCCCTAGGTAATATTCTAGAAGGAATATTCCCCATCTCATGGAATAATAAATATAGAATAAAATTAATTCCTAAGATCCTAATAAAATTAAATAATAATATATCCCACTAGAAAATTATTATTGCTCTCCCCATTTGGCTCCAATTTAATCAATTAAATTAAACTTCCACTTGATTAATAAATATTAATCTAATTGACCGATTTACCTCCCCATGTTTAAGATATACCGTCCGTGGATTAATTAAATTACTGACAAGATAATTAATCGACTTCTTATTCATTTCCGAAATTAGTACCACTCAGAACTTTAATCATTGTGTCGGATAAATATCCACCTGCAGGGTTTAACACAATATTTCTTCCTGAGCTCATTTCGGGGACGTCATCAATCCAGCGCACTGGACACAGTACCATAAATAATTTATAATAGCTCGTCATATAAACATTCTCATTTACCAAAGTACTGAGTATGTCATCCTAATAATAGAAATCACCCTTGGTAAATCAAATAAATAAGTAATGAATATACACGACTATTTTATATTATCTTACAGCTTTAGAGAACGCGTCAATCACTGAAGGTATAGATTACAACAACGATCAGTGAGTCTCATAATCTTATCCTTCCGGTGGTCCTGTTCAATACTTAACATAAGTACTAGTGTAATTCTCCAGTTAAGGTCAACTGAATCAAGAATACACTACAGTCTTTTTCCAAGTGGGGTCTCACTGCCAGTCTAGACTGTGAACAAATGATTTAGTCTTACAAGGAACTGATAGGTGACCTTTCTGTTCGAGACACCACGAACCACACTATCTCAATGTAAGACAAGGAGTATGATTGCATAAATAAATAAACTGCAAGCATATGTACTTTGACTAAAACGCAATTGTCAGATCAAAATTGTATTATTAATATCTGAAAGCCAAGCTTTTACAGCATATCTAACACTTGCAGCCACAATTTTAGAAATCACCTTATAGAAAACAGCACACAGACTGATAGGTCTGAATTGGGTGATAGAAATAGGATTCAAGCATTTAGGTATAAGAGTGATAAGAGAGTGTTTCCAGTACCTCAACATCTGTCATGAGTAAAACAAAACTCCTAACTGTTGTACAAATATCCTTGCTGATAATAGGCCAAAAATGCTAGTAGAACAGCCCTGTTATTCCGTCTTCCCCTGGAGACTTTTCAGGATGAATACTAAAAACTGTCTGCTTAATGACCTCATCATCCACTGGAGCAACAAGGATCTCATTCATTTCCTGATTGACAGTAGGAGAGATACATGTTAATAGCTCTTGACTATTACAAGACCCCTTGGTAGTAAACGGATCCTCAAAGAATTTTCTGATAGTACTCTCTATTTATGTGGGATCTTCACTGATATGGCCTCCCTCAGTAAGAAGTCTTTCAATGGCATTCATTTTCCTCTTTTGAACTGTATAGGCATGAAAAAATTTCGAATTTCTGTATCCCACTTTAAGCCATAATGCCCTTAATTTTTGCTGCCAAAAGATCTCCTTAAAGCAATTAGCCTCATCCAATTCTTGTTTGAGTTTGTCCCACACCTCCAAGTTCCTGTCACCTCTGTCCTTCCTCATCTCCTCTAGCATCAATGACAACTTCCCAATGTGTTTAGAATTCTCAGTTTGAAAATACTTACTCCATGTCTACAAGGCTTCCCTAGCCCTTTTAGTCTTCTCCTTCACTGCAAACATTGGAGTTCCCTCAGCTGGTATGTCCCAGGCTTGTTTAACCACATTGTGCACTCCATTTTTCATAATCCAACGTTTGTCAAACTGAAATCTCCTCTTGTGCCTGATGGTTCCACCTCTAGAATCAATCACTAGCATGCAATGGTAAGAAGCACTCCGGAACCAACTAGGGACATGTGTGTGAGGAAAATATTCCAGGCATTCTAAAGAGACAAACACTCTGTCCAATAATTCTTCAACAAATCCCTCTCCATCCCTGTTATTTGCCCATGTAAACTGCATCTCTTTCATAGGTAGTTCTTGCACACCCAAATTAGCTATAAATTCATTAGAACCCCAGTAGCTGCTGCTAGACCTGCTAATACCACCCTTCTTATCTTCAGGTTTGCACAGACATTCCAGTCACCCGCAAGAAAAAATACAGGCCCCAACTTAACTCTTTCCTGACTGAGAATATCCCACTGACCTGTCCTTTCAGCTTTGCAAGTACTTAGATAAACAAAAACAGCCCAACTCCAAACAGCTTGTCCCCTCTCCTTAACTTTAAATACAATAAAGAAATACTTGCCATATATCTATTCAATCTCTACCTCTGAGTTCCAAAACAACAACAGACCACCACTAGAACCTCTGGGTTCCACAACAAAATATCTATCTACAAGTCCCAGCCTCCAACAAACTTAAGCAGTAAATTTCCTAGATTTTTTAACTTCAGATAAAAAGGTGAAACCCGGGTGATGGAGCCTTAGGGCCTTCTTAATCTGAGGAACTATAGAGGGCCCACCCAGAACTCTATAGTTCCACACAATAGCCCTCATTGGGCTCCTTGAGGTTGGCCCTCTCCACCATTGTCAAACAAAGTTTGAGTTTTTTCTCACCCTGATATTGTTTACTGATCCTCTAAGATGCATTAATCGGAGTCTTATCTCGATCTCTATGTCTTTTAGTATGCACCAATGTATCCTCCAAGTTTGAAGAATCAAAGGCCCTGGTTAATCTCCCCTCTCACTTCACTAATCTTTTTTAAGTCTTTTTAGCCGGTGCTGATGGAACAACAGTGTTTTGACCCTCAGGTAAGGGGTGAATCATGATCTGGCCTCTGTACTCCGGTACCATAGCTTATATATTGGTAGCACCTGGCAACATAACCTCCATAGGGCTGCTCTCAACTTCAAAAACCACTAGTTCTCTTTCCTTACTCCCTTGCACAGATCTCTCCCCCATCTTAGATGAGCTGGTAACAACCGTAGCCTCAAAAATTTCCTTCGGAACATAACTAGCCATGATTTCTGGAGACCTTTGATTACCTTCTGCCCTTTGAGCCTCTTTATGAGCTTCATTACTAGTGACATAATCAGGTTCCTTAGACTGGCCCGAGGAATAGCTACCATTATTCCATCCTTGGCCTTGGAAACATTCTAAAGCTCACATCCATTCTCCATATTGACCTTCTTTGAGGGTGTGCTTTTCTATATTATATACCATTTTGCTACAGTTTTTCTCTATGTGACCCACTTTCCCACAATAAAAGCATAGATTGACCAGCCACTCATACAGGAAAGTGATTGTGATTACCTGATTATCCAATCGAATTAAGGCACATCTGGGAAGTGCTTATTCCACATCAACTGTCACCAGCAGCTTAATCAACAGCCCCCCTTGACTTTCTAGATTACTAACTATCATGTTAGAACATGATTTGAATACTTGCCCTATTTTCAGGCCAACTTCATAAGTGAGCCAATTCAGCGGTACATGATGGAGTTGGACCGAAAACTGAAGCTCATTGAAGCAGCTATCAATGTTGCCTTCCACTTCAAAACTGAGTGTTGATTGTTGAAAATCCAATTTTTACCCCCTGCAATCCTCTTCATGTCATCCGCGCTGCAAAAAATGAACTGGAAAAAGTTCCTGCCGAGTTTGCGAACTTCTATAGACGACTTCAATTTCCAGATTAGCCCCATAGCCCTTTTCATTTCCAACAGGTTCGCTCTTTTTTCCCCCACCACCTTCCAAAACAAACTCTTGTGGCACTCAACAACACTGGCTTGCACATCCTCAGCTTCGATATTGATAATCCTATTCTCCACTAGTGATAAAGAGAGAGCCCTTAACTGATTTTTCATTTCCTCTGTTGGATTACACAGTTGTCCATCCGCCATGGAACCCTAATTAACCAATTCCTAGGATCCCACCAAGAAGATACCTAATAGATCTGCTATGAGCACTCCCAACTGGATATGAGAGAGTGAGAGGACATCCGAACCAAGCACTTCGATGACAGAAGAAACTCTTCAAGAGAGAAGATAACTCTCCGATGAGAGAAAAAAATCGGGACCTTAGACTTTAGTTTCCAAATCAAACTCGACCTGGGAATTCACCTACCCTTTTTTTTCCCATAATGAAATTTTATAAAAAAATTCAAAGGAAGAGTACAATCGACAAGTCAAATATATGCAAATGAAGCCGATCCTTAACAAACAAGATCTAGGACTCCCTTAACAAAAAAATGTTCCTTCTCTCTCTAGATTTTTTTCCTTCCCATTCTCTCTAGGTATTTTCTTCTCTTTTTTTCCTTTTCACCATTTTTTGTTTTTTTTCGGTCAGCAGGTGCTTTAGGGTTCATTTTTCCGGTCCCAAGTCGGCCGCCACAACTGGTGACTGGTTCCCGGATTCTGCCCACTTCGCTTTTTCTTTTTTCTTTTCTTGTTTTTTAGGTTTTCAGTCCTTGTTCAGTCTGGTTTTCCTGCCCTGTTTTTATTTTTTCGTTTGATGTCCCAGCTCGCGGCGCCGGCCAGTTTTCCAGCAGACACTTCCCCAAACTCTGACCAGCTTTTTGTCGAACGTGGAAGCTTTCTTTTCGGAGTTTAGGGAGGCTTTCTTGGCCTTCATGGCAAAAACCAGAAAAAAAAAATAGAAAGTGATGAGGAGCTCCCCGTATCGAACCTCACGACGACCATGGTTCCCAGTTCTTCGCCCATCGTCGATCCCGTCCTCAGCTTCGCAAAGAAGACAAGTACCTCAACCTCGACCGGAAGCACGAACGCAGCTGTTGACAAGAAGCCAAGGCTGGGAGGACACGCTTAAAGCGGCCTAGAGACATCAACAACCAATCAAATGGAAGAAATCCAAACTCAACTAATGACCCTCCACTACCACAAGGCCTAGAGGGTCTGAACATAGAAGAACAACCAAACCACAAAAAAACTAAGAAACACAAAATGAAACAAGATAACAACCAAGGAGCTAAGCATGAGAACTCCATCCAGTCTTTATGAGCTACTTTGGCCACCAAATGAACAGGAATAAGGATTTCTTGAAAGACCATTGATTGCGAGCTTTCCAAAGCCACTAAAGCATGTAGGTAGTCAATTGGATTCTTGCTTCAGCTATCTTTAAGAATCCTAATGTGCATATATGATTCCACCAGTACCTGAAAGACAAATCTTTGGAGTGCAGTCCCTCCCATTTAACTGGGGCAATATCCGAAAGTCTAGCTGCTCTAGGACATTGGACTAAAACATGGTCCACTGTTTCAGAATATCCACCACGGCGTTTGCAGATGACATCAATGTTCAACCCTTTTTTCTTTATGTTTGTTTTAACAGGTAAAGAACCAGAAAGACATTTCCAAATAAAAAGTTTAGCTTTGCCAACCACCTTCAATTTCTAGTATCTGTTACCTGCATTACTGTATGAGTGGCTACTGCTGCAGGGTAGATCTAAGGGTAAGAGCGTCTGATTGGATAGATGAAAATAAGTGCTAGAAATTGAGAATGCACCTTTTCTGTCGAACTTCCAGAATGTCATGTCTTCTTTGTCTGGTTTGAGAGTGGTGATTTTAAGAATTTCCTTGTTGTCTTCTTCACTGAATACTTAGTTCACCAGCCATGTGTTCCAGCTTGTACCAGAGCTATGCAACAGGTCCTTGACCCAAATAAGGTGCCCCCTAGAAATTTCAATGAGAGTGGGCTTAGGAGTTACCAGAGTGGGCACTCAATTCACATCATCCAGTCTAGTAGACTTCCTATTTCTGATTTCCACTGCATATCCCTTAGCAAAGGTTGGAATATTCTCTAACCAGTTGGACCATAACCAAGAGAATTCTGAGTTTTGGCAGCATCAAAGATAGAGCAGTTAGGGAAATATCTATCCTCCAAAATTCTACTAACCAGTAGGTGGGGTTGTGTAGTGATCCTCCACAGTTATTTACAGATAAGAGAAATGTTGGAAATTCTCGATATCAAGGAATCCAAGGCCACTAGTATCCTTTGTTAGAGAGAGAAAACTCCAAGCTTTCCAATGAATTCCATTTGTGTGGTCTTCACTTGTACTCCACCCGAAATTTAAGCAAATTTTTGAGATCTCTGCACATAAAGTAGAAGGGAGCTTGAAGGAGGGCATGGAAAAAACAGGTAAGGCTTGAAGGAAAGCCTTTATCAAGACCTCTTTTCCAGCTTGAGAAAGAAGCTATGATTTCCAACTCTAAATTCTGGATCTGACAGATTCCTATACATACTGAAATTGATTAAAACTTGGATCTACCAATTCCAAGTGGCAGTCCCAAGTATCTTGTGGATTTGTGAGATGTGATCCTTTGCATAGTTGTGCAAGTTCTCTTCTGAAGATACTAAAGTGTATTCTTACTGAAAAACACAACAGATTTCTGTAGATTGACAAGCTGCCCAGTAAATAACCTATATTTTTCAAGGATGCTCAATAGAGAAGAGACCTAATCAATGCTTGCTTTTCAAAAGAACAATGAGTCATCTGCGAAGAGAAGATGAGAAAGAACAGGTCCATTCCTAGTGAGTTTCAAACCAATCAAATCTCAAGAGTTAATAGCATTAGTGACTAAAGCAGAGAGCATCTCAGCAACAATTATGAACAAGTATGGGGAAAGAGGATTCCAGTGTCTGATGCCTCTAGAAGGAGTTACATAGCCACTGACACTGCCATTCACTTTAAAAGAATAAGAGTAGGATATATGTAGATCATAATCAAGTGCACAAATTCCTGTTGAAATCCCATTTGAATCATGAGTTTTTAACACAGAGTCACTCCACTCTGTCAAATGCCTTCATAAGATCAAGCTTAAGAGCCATGAAGTGGTTTTTCCCTGATGAATGTCTATTAAGAAAATGAAAGGCTTTCTGGCCTATGATGACATTATCAAGCAGTTGTCTGCCTTTGATAAAGGAAGACTGTGAGTATCTTATGCAATGACCTAGACAATTTTTAAGCCTAAGAGCCAAAATTTTAGAAAGTATCCTATAAACCATTGTATAAAGGCTGATTGGCCTGAACTGAGAGAGAAACTATGGATTTCGACATTTGGGGATGAGAGTAACTATGGCGTGGTTCCAATATTTAAGCAATGACCAATTTTCTTGAAAGAAACTTGTAATAGCAGCTATAACGTCAGGTTTAATTAAATCCCAAAAATTTTGATGGAAAAGAGCAGTCATACTGTCTTCCCCCGTAGACTTATTTGGACGGAGACTAAAGAGGGTTGTTTTGATTTCATCTTCATGGACTGGTTTGAGAAGAACCTGATTCATGTCTGGTGTGATTGATTGAGGAATAAGATGAAGAAAGGAATCTCCTCCCCATGAGCCCTCTAAGGAAAAAGAGTGTAGTATAAATCGGAGATATGATCTTGTATTTCCTTCTGAGTGGAGCAGACTTCGTTCTGATTGGTGACAAGCCTGGTGATAGCATTCTGTCTTTTTCGATGAAGAGTATAGGCATGAAAGAATTTGGTGTTGCAATCACCCTATTTGAGCCACTGAATTTTGGCTTTTTGTTTCCAGTAGAGTTCTTCAATTTTGTGAGTTTAATTCAATTCTTTCTTAGTAGACTTCCAAGTATCCCAGTGCTCCTCTAATCTGGTCTCTTGAAGAGACTCCAGCTTCTTGGTAAGAGACTCAATATTGGATTAGTTTTGAGTTTTGAACTTTGCACTCAATAACAGCAAGGCCTGTCTTGTTTGTTTTATTTTCTTTTTCAGCTGGAAGAATGCCCCTCTGATTGCTGGTCCAAGCCTTCTTAACTATGTTCGTGATATCATCCCTTATGTAACGCCACGTTGTTTTAAAAAGAAAAATGTCGGGTTTTTCCAAAATAGGAATAAAATTTTCAAAAACAATTATCCAGTTTGAAACCTTTTAACGGGCATTACTCAACGTCAAACAAACAAGCTCACAAAGTTTAAATACAACTTAAGCGAGTGGAGGAGTCATGTCCTTTCCAGAATGGCGGTCGTTTTCGCTAGAGGTGGCGGAATTTGGAAAAAATTAGAGAATCAGAAAAAAAAAAAGGTCAAAGGAAAGGGATTTGTGGGGAGGCTTTAAACAAAGATGGGGAAGAGACAAGGGATGTTATGGCGAGAAGAGTGGATTTGGGAGATTTAGTTCTGAAATTGTAAACCCAAGAAGAAGCAAAAATTTGCTAAATTTAAAGAAAACATAAGTCAGAAAATCCAAGAAACTTACTCATCATGAACAATCGAGACAGTCGCAGTGAAGCTTGAGAACTGGAAACTGCAGAAAATTCAAAGTTGCAAGGAGCTTGAGAATGCAAGAAGGCTAAGGGAGATATTAATGCGAGAATTTGTAAAGTGAAAAACTTCCTAAGTGGTAAGTTGGGAATATTCATAGAGAAGTCGATTAAATGTTAGCCGTCAGATGGATGTTGATTGAAGGGTTGCGATGAAAAGATAAGGTGAACAGACATTATGCAATTAGCCGTTAGATTAAAAGTGTTGATCTAATGGCTATTAGGGGAAAGAAAGCTTAAAGGGGCACGGAGTACGAAGAGACACGGTTTACGGAGTAATGATGAGGCCTGACATACAAAAAGACGTTTCTGATAGAGTTGACAAGTGGCGGAATTTGAGTTTTGAAATTCAAAATGACAGTTGACATGGGCTGGGGTTGAAAAGAAACAAATAATACATCATCTGGTCGAAGGCGATAGTGGAAATAGTGACGGTCAACAAACTAATGAAGATCTACTCTTAGATCGAGTCATCGAAACTCGACCAGAGTGGGGGAACTAGATGATATGGGATATTATATCTTAGACCGGTCTAGTTGGTTGGGAAAGTAACCGAAGTAATGAATTTGGGCGAGCGGAGTCCACGCGGGCCAATGGTGAACAAAGGCCATAGCAACAAGAGCCTTGGGAAAGAAGACCGGCCTGACCCTAGTAGAAGATCAAGTTGAAAGGTCAGGTGGTCGAGCAAAGGACTGGGTGATCGACCACCTCATACGCTTGGAACAACTTAGCAGATTCTCCAGATATGGTCGAGCATCGGAGCCTCTAAAGAAAAACCTAAGGAATCTTTATCCACATGCACGAAACACGTGGCGTGATTGGATTGGTCTATGTTGATAACCGTCTCTAACACATTCCTGACACACCTACCTAGAGGTTGTACTATCGAGCATGACGGGCAGCCCTAGGGCAACCAGCTCACCAATTCCGGGCAGCTTCTAGAATAGGTATCTCACCCTTATATATATAGGGGTGAGCCTTATGATTTTACACACAATGTCTCGTATTCCATTATCATTTCATACTTGAACTCAAGACTGACTTGAGTGTTAGAGGCTCTTCACCGGAAAATCTCTCCGGTGTGAGATTTTTGTGCAGGTTCTGAAGTTCTACCGGTGAGGAGTCGAGAGAGAAGCAGTTCTTAGCCGATCGGAGTGTTACACTTGTATTAGTATATGAGCCAAGACGTGCTAGGATTGATTCATTCTGATTTTTGTGGTCCTATGTCGATCCAAGCTAAAGGTGGTTATGAGTACTTTATCACTTTCATTGATGATTACTCGAGATATGGGTACGTCTATCTGATGCACCGCAAGTCCGAATGCTTTGAAAAATTCAAGGAGTATCGGGCCGTTGTGGAGAAGTATCATGGTATGAGCATCAAGTCACTTCGATCTGATCGAGGTGGCGAGTACCTCTTTGGAGAGTTTAGGACATATTTAAGAAGTTGGGATAGAATCACAACTGACTGCACCCGGCACACCTCAGCAGAACGGGGTTTCAGAGCGAAGAAATAGGACTCTTATAGAGATGGTTAGGTCAATTATGAGTTATTCAAAGTTACCCGATTCATTTTGGGGAATGGCGCTGGAAACAACATCGTATATTCTGAACTTAGTTCCA